GAGAATCGGTCTTGTGTTCGGACAACAAGTGTAGTTGAATCCAGGCCTTTCAGCAAGAGAAACATGTGCGCCGCTGCCTTTGTGCCAGGCGACTGGCGCTCACCTGCCCCTGTCTTTCTCATTGCCATACACAGAGCCACCGCCGCACACTTGACGTGCTGCGTGTTGCCAACAAGGCGACGAAGCGTCGACTCTCTGCAAGAAGTCGGCAGTTGCAGGGTTGGCGGAAAGGCGTGCAGAACCTCAGGCTGGCAAAGCTGCGTGCGACTGGCAGCAGGCCATCCCGGTACATCAAGCCTAAAGACGCAGCCAAGCACTAGACCTTTGCCTGGTCAACGCTCAGGCCTCACCATGCACATGCGGCTCGACCTAGCCCACGTTGGAAACATATCGACGCCAGACCTTGCCCACTCCTTGCTTTGCGAAACATCCACTGTGAGAGTCTTCTTTTTCAGATGGGCAGCTACAAGGCCTGCCTGCGCCTTCAAGACTTCTTTCTCTCGTGCGTTGGGCGTCCGCCCGAACTGGCTGTCTTGCACGCAGTCATGAATGTGCTGCTGCAGCGAGCACGCTAGAGAAGATTACACATACCATCCCCGCCATGCCTTCTGCGTCCTCCGCCACAGCGCACCCCGCAGCAAGTAAAAGAAACCAAACGCGTGGACGTCGAACAGGCTCAAGAAAATCTGAAGAACAGAACTGCACCTCAGGAGCAAAGGCCCAAAACCGCGCGGCCTTGCCAAGCACAGAAAATGCGAGCTCTCCAACATAGATTGGAAGCTTGCGTTTTTTCCAGTTACAGTTGGTGTCGTCGTACCCTGTCCAACAAAATGGCATGAACAAATGCAACATGCGACTACAAGGTGGTACTGCCCTCGCAACTTCTCTTTCATCAGCCCTTTGATTTCGTTGACCCAGGACACACATCCCACCACGTTCTCGAGAACGGCCCACTGTGGCAGCTTTGCATCGATTGTGTCCAACACGGCATACTTTGGAATACACATGGCTAGGGCCACACCTATTCTGACCTCGTGTGCATTGCTGACACCACCCGTGCACGTCGCCCGCGCTCTATAGATCCAACGCTACCAGTGATAAGCAAAAATGAAATTGTGAACCTGCGGGCAGCCAGCCATGCGTTCGTGCACAAACGTGTGCTTGCAGTTGAAAAACATGACTCCCAAACACGTGCCACCTTCGACAAAAAAACGAACGCCTAATGGCTCAAGCACGGCAGCGATAGCTGTTGCTCGATGAGCCGACACCTGACCCAAACTCACTGAAGAAAAGCTCAGCCGAAGGAAAGCCCTCCGCTGGCCTTGGGCTGCCGGTTTCCTGAAAAAGCCTAGCAGACCTGCAATGGTATGAGCAGTGGAAACACACCAACATCAACGCAGTCCATGGCGGATACATGGGAAAGTTCGTGCGTCAACAAAGGCAAAAATCAGAAAGGGACCCGCCTGTGAATTTCACCAGCTGCGTCTCAGGCAAGACTCAGCGGGCGAAAACGACTGACATGGGAAGCCGGCTGCATAGCCGCCGCGCTAAAGCTGAGGCAGAGCATCTAGGTCACGGCGGCAAACATCGCCATCAAGGCGCGCCATGCGTCCTTAGATGCATCGCGTGCTGTGTCACAAGACAAAACAGGCATCACACCTCGCCACATTGTTCTACCAAAGCCCGAATTGGCGACGCCATGGAGTCCATCAGTCGCTGGTGCTTCTTTGCTTCTCTGCTCTTTACTTTCAGTACCAGTGTTAGTCCGACAAACAACCGAAAACAGACAACCGGAACTGATTCCGCAGCCAATATCAGACCCCCTGTGTTGAATGAAGCTGACTGACACAACGCCCAGACAGCGGCATCCATGCCCGAGCAATCCGTAGCAAACGGCAGGCATCCGTGCCATAGGCCCCGCGACGGCTGTCTGTGAGGCAGGCCTTAAGCTCCTGCGCAAAGTCTTTGCCCTTGCTGCAAGAGCCATGCCTCCGACGCATGGACAGCCGCGTCGGCATACGCGTGGCCCCATGTGTGCGCCATGCTGCGCTGAGCTTTCGTTGGCCCGGAGCAAAAGCAACACGAATGCAGAAACTTGCAATGACAAGCAAGAGCTTCGATGCGCAGAAGCCTTGACTCTCAGTCAACACAACTGCGTCGCACCAGGGCCACTCCGCAAACAAAACTTAGTCCTGGACAGCAAGCCGACTCCGAACTGTCAAGACACTTGCGCGCCCCCCGTTAGCGACACAGCCTTTGCCTTACCGATGTCTGCTCCCAGACCACTCAGCGTCTCGGCAGCTACAAAAAGGAGGTAAAGCGGCCGTGGCCCAGCTTCTTTGACCTATGAGCCTACGGGTTCCGAAAAGCTCCGTCAGCTGACACCAAGCGAATTATGAGCATCCCCCAGGCTCAGACATGTCCACAATACATGTTAGTGAGTAGTGGATGTCTAAGTAAGGGCATCCAAGTGTGCTAAGTGCTTCAAAGTGAAGTATTACCGCAAGGCATTTTGCTCGCAAGGTTTCTCCCTTGGGGCAGGTCTATCGAAGCTTGCCGGCGTGCTACTGACTGACAAGCTTAGCTGGGTAATGCGTAAACGTTATTGTTGACGGGGGCTTATATATAGCGCATCCATCCAAGCTGCGAGGGGCTTACCCAACTTTTGGAAACCATCCCTTTAAGCTGCGCCATTGTCATGTCTGTAGAGTTGGCTTGCACAGGCTGCGTCTCAAAAAAAGGTGCCCGCTGCTGCCATTGTGTAGATGTTCATCCCAAGTGCGTTCCTCGCGCTAGACTAGACTTGTTGGACACGGGTGGCGCTGATTTTTGCTGCCGGGTCTCGGGGGGGCCGCAGAAGTGGTTTGTTGTTAGAGACCAACTCTGGGGATCTTCTGGGCTGTAGGGTTTGCTCCTGTTTTGCAGCGCAGGGGCGCGCTTGTCGGTGCAACGAAGCAAATGCACAGCGCTCTTTTCTGCGACGTCTGCTTGTGAGATATATAACCCCGGCCCAAGCCTATGATGTGAGGTGCTCCTAGAGATTGCTGTGTAGGGCAGCGCTTAGCGCAACGTGAGTGCGCCGTGCTGGCACGTGCTTCACCCCACTGCTTCTAGCACAGCTTCCCTAACGCGCGATGACGAAAACACCTTGGCCTCCGCACTTCGAGGCCTGGACTAGAAAGTCCAACCAGATCTTACCCGGGAGCGGCGGGGCGTGGCGCTCAAGCGTTGCTTCCGAAAGACCCTGAAACAACCAGCTCCAACAGCCCAAGCCCAGTGGAGGCCCTGCGTATGAACCGCGCAAAGAAAGAAAAAAGGAGCTGCCCCACGCGTCAAGAACGAAGCTTATTGCCGCACGCGTCCGCCCTGAACAGAAGCGCTTTGGAGCAGCTGAAACCTTTCGGAAAGCAGGCGCAATTGTATGGCCGCGCGCTAGTGACTGCGCCCTACGTTCCGAAAGAGGCCGATGCCACGCGTCTTCTTCTGCGGCGGCGCGTCTCATTTGCGTAACCAGCGAAGACGAGCTAGCCATTTTGTTGCCCCAAGTCGCGTGTGTGTGTGTGTGTGTGTGTGCGTGTGTATCTTGAGCCCCCCAAGCAGCGGCCCTTCAAAAAGTTTGGCCCAGCGAGAATCAAATGTCCCTTCGCCAAGCAGCCGCTTTCTGAAGCATGACGATCATGGCATGCAGCTGCTCGTTCCCGAGCACCTCCTGAATCCTGAGTGCGAGGGTCCACGGCAGGCTGCCAGGTGTCGCTCGCCTCCACGGCCACCGGGGCGCGTACCTGACAAACGTCTCCACAAACAAGAATGCAGCCCCTTGCGATGCGAATGACGCAATGCTGCCAAGGGACGTCGTACGTCACAGTGGCCCAGCCCTCATCAGGCCGACACCAGTCTTGCAGCTCCGACAAGGCGCGCAGTGAGCTGGGTTTTTGGGCAGCAAACTCGACAAACAACTTGTGGACCTATGGGGGCTAAAAGGGAGTCTATGTTGCAAGCCACCCGCAGCGCAAGCCCACAGGGACCGCCCACGGTGGTGCTGCGGCGCACTGAGCCAGAGCCAGATCCGCGCGCGGAGCTCAAACGTCTTTTGGGCAAAAAAACGCGTCGATTTGTTCAACGCGCCTCTACGTTGCTAGGGGGAAAGGCGTCCGTCGACAAGAATGCAATACTCACATTTCTATGCCCTTGCCCTGCTTTCGCAACGGGAGCGCTGAGCATTAGACAAAGGTCACTACAAACTGATGTCGCTTCATGGGAACACACAATACTGCAACGGCTATCTCCCCTCCCCTCAAACATGCCACCAAGAGAGCAGATTAGTTTTCTCAAAGATTCTTGTCTAGTATTTGAGAAAGTTGGGGCCTATCATCTGCTTTGATTGGCTCCTTTATTCGTTATGCGTTGTGCATGTGGGCCTCTGTGTCCCTCCGGAGGCGCAGCCAAACAGCGCTGAGTGCCAAAAAGGGTGAAGCAAAATCCGCAAAAATAAAAAATGTCTCAGAGTGCAACCCAGTAAACCATGATTTTGCCCAATCTCTTTTGGGGTGGGGGGCGAATGCCCGCTCGAAAATTGTGGGGCAAGCACCTCCGCCCGCTACCTCAGGGACCCTCCCGAATTTGGATCGGTGATTCGAAGCGAGCAAACCGAGACGTCCACTTCCATGGTTGGATAGGGTAATGCAGTGGGCCCCCTCTCACGATCTCACTTCCTGAGCTCCTGGACTTTGGTCACCTGAAGGTCAAGCCTTTGCGAGTCAACTCAGATGGACCTTTGGGACGATGTGGGTGTCCTTGACTTGCAAGGCATGGACGGCGAGCCGGCAGGCACGCGACAATCACGGCCCAAACTGATTTGAGGACCCGCCATGCTTGGTTGCTCGCGAGACCCCCCTGCAAAAAGTTCAACTGTTTGGGGTTTAGTGGAAAACCCAACTTGAGTTTAACCAAAAGCTTAAAGCCTAAAGGTCCGTTGCCCAACAGCAGTTAAGCCAAGAAGCTCCTTGATGCCGCAAGAGGTCATGTACTCCGAGCAGTACTCCGCCGCGCTGTCGGGCAAAGGGCCCAAGCATCGGGGCAGGAAGTCGATGATCGTCAACTTCAGGTCCGGAAAGTAGTGCTCCTCAGCCCCCATGGCAAACAGGCCCCTGAAAAAACTCCATACTGTGGATGGGCGAAATCCATTTCGCACCACCTAAGAAACCCCGGAATGATGAAACCCCTGTAAATACCAATGAACAATGGTTTCAACCATGGTTTCTAAGTGGTGCAGGATTTCGTCCATCCACAGTAGCACTGCATGTACCACGCTTCTTTTTTGTGCACCTCCTGACGGTCGGAGGGTATGGGATTACTTTCCTTTTGATCCCCACGACCCTGCAAAACCTAGATTCTTCATCTTGGTCCACCTTACCCGCCAAGTTCCTGCACCAGGCAGGAGCAAAGCCCATCGCAGCTCTGTACACCCCAAAAATGTTCAGATGTTCCAGATTGGACTGTGGGTCAAACAAAAACCACGGGTGTTCCCGCAGGTTCAGCCGTCCATGCGGGCAACCCTTCTTTCGGATCCCTTTTTTGCGGCCAGTCCGGCCAACCCCATTTGGGCTCCTCGTTTTTTGGCCTTGGCACCGGGGAACCCATAAAAGGAAACCAAAGCCATGTTGGAAATTCCAATGTAAAAAAAAAACAACAAGAAGGGCCGCTCATGTTTCATCCCCGTCCCCAAGTGGCTGTGGGTCAAAAGTAGGGTAACCCCACAACCCCGGTGATGGATTTCACCGGTCCAGCTGCTGGTTGAACTTTCCCCCGTCTCAGTGGCCCAGGGAAAGAAAGAATCGGCGCCCTTTTTTGGTGGAGTTTAAAGGAATCGGAAGCCTTACCCCCCCCCCCCCAAACCAAAAAAAACACAAACACGCAAAACAAAAAAAGGAAACACACTAGGGGGGGGGGCGAAATCCACTGGGCAACTGGGTGTGCTAGCCTTACAGGACTCCGATGGGTAGCTCCAACAGGTTTTGGATCCTGACGGCTTCTTGGCTCCCCAAACGCCCATATTGGATCCCCCCAACTTCTTGGCTCCCCACCACCAGCTAGTATTCCCAAGCCATGGGTTCATGGCCGCAGGGCTGCTCCTTCTTCTTCCGGACTTGGATACTGACGGCTTCTTGGCTGTATTTGGATCCCCCCTACATCATAGAACCACTATCTTGCTTCTTGGCTCCCCTCAATCCCCCTATTCCCCCCCCCCCCGCCGACCCCCCCAATAAAAAACTCGTCCCCCCCCCCCCCCCACCAAAAAAAAAAAAAAAACTCGTCCCCCCCCCCCCACCAAAAAAGAAAAACTCGTCCCCATCCCCTTATCTCATTCTCCCACGGCGCCAGCTCGGTGGCCCACTCCACCCCGATGAAGCCGGCGCCCACCACCAGCACCGTGGACTTCTTCCGGTTCAGGTCCTGCCGCCCCCGGAGGGTCGGAGGCTCGGAGCCCCCGCAACCCCCCGGAACCCCCCCCCCCCCCAGAAATGGCAAGGGCCGGTGAATTCGCCTTTGACCACCAAGAAGGCGAACCAACAAAAAAAAGGCCCAACCACACAGAAGGCACACCCAACATTGGTATTTAACCACAAGAAAAATGGCGAAGTGAAAGAAAACATCGGCGCGCCCCACCTTAGGGGTACCATCAAAATTCAAAGGGGACACCCACAGGGAGGTTTCTCAAAGGGACCGCAAACAAAGGGTTGTGGTGTGGGTGGGTGGGTCTGGGTGTGGGTGGGTGGGTCTGGGTGTGGGTGAGTGAGTATGGGTGTGGGTGGGTATGGGTGGTATGGGTGGGTATGGGTGGGTATGGGTGGGTATGGGTGGGTATGGGTGGGTGGGTATGGGTGGGTGGGTATGGGTGGGTGTGGGTGGGTATGGGTGGGTATGGGTATGGGTGGGTGGGTATGGGTGGGTGGGTATGGTTGGGATATGGTGGTATGGGTGGTATGGGTGGAGTATGGTGGGTAATGGGTGGGTATGTGTGGGTATGGTGGGTATAGGGTGGGTATGGGTGGGTAATGGGTGGTAAAAGCAAAACTTACCCCTTAAAACTCCAAGCCCTGGGGAAGTTAATCTTTTACAGACATATAGCCCATGCTACCCAACAAGTTGAAAAAGTGTTTTTTTTTTTTAAAGAGGTCAGGCTCTTTTTTGGGCCCTCCACAACACATCGGGTTTCTTGCAGCGGTCTGAAACCAGCCCTTCCCCAGGCTCGGTGAGCACCGAGCCCAGAGTCGAAAGGTTTTTACCTTCAACAGATTTCAATGGAAGACCCAACTGAGAAGGAAGGATTGCAAAAAGAGCTCACGACTACTTCCTGTGGCCGATGGCTGGTTCACTTGCAGTGGCTGTGTCTTTGTTGAGATTTCCATGTTTGAGGGCTTGACATCAAAGCCACGCGCCTTATTGTGGAGGGTACCCATCTTTCAAATCACCAAGCCCGTTTGAGCACTCCTGGAGCTTGTAGTACTCCTCCAGCACGTGCCTTCGTCGGCCCTCCAGGAATCGCTCGTCGATGTGCTTCCAATCGCTGACGGCCCGTGCGTCCTCGCGGCTGCGGGTTCGCACTTCGCAGACGGCAAAAGACGACGTCCCAGCGGCGATGGGACTTGGTCGGTTGGGCATGCTCTGTGGGGAACAAGCTGGGGCGTTAAAAGGGGGGAGGTAACGCGGAACTGGGGCAAGCGCGCAGGACGTCAAGCAAGAATCTGTCGCACAAACCGGCCAGGTGAGGCTCAAGCCTGTCTTACTTCGATGGGCCTTTCTTCCGGCCCCTGGCCCTCAAGATCCAAGAGAGCACCATGCCGATCCATGCCCCATGGCTTTCTTCGGCAGATGTGCAGCGCAGGATTCTCCTCGTGGACGGTTGGAAACCACAAGGCCTCGCCCATGGGTTTGAAGGGCCCAAAGTTGCACCCGGAGCAAATGATGCAGTAGTCGAACCCGATCTCGTCCACTCGCTGGTAGCATATGGCCTACCCCACAGGACAAAGAAAGTCGGAACGAGCAAAGGATGTGGGTGGCGGTCCAACTGCCGGAGGTTTAATTTTGACCCATACCCATGTGCTTGTGAATGGTGTTGAGGCAAAGCCCCGGCATGGACTCAGGGCAAATCCCCAGACTCCGACCCAGGTCGCCAAACCCTTCTTATCACCAAGAGGCCCGCGGAATTCTGCAACGCAATTGAACTGGGCATGACTCGCTCAAATGGCCTTGATGCTGGCCGTCTTCTTGTCGCCGTCCAGCTCCTGCATGCCACAGCTACGCTTCGAACACTTTTGGAGACACACCCTAGATCCCTGCCAGAATTCATGCCATATGGCCATGGTTCAAAACCAATGGTACCATTTTGGGGTAGGTGAATTCACCACCCATTTTAGTCTATGTTAGTGGGGATTGGGATGTTTACTGCGGGATAACCGATTTGGATTTTGACCCATGGCCATATACGCTCACAACATTGGAAACATCCATGCCCAACAGCAACCGGATGGCCTGACATAGAGCGCGCACACTTGCACATGGGTGTTGATCAACATTCCTCGCCCCAAGATGACCGTGGGGTAACTTTTCCCATTTAGCGGCGAAAGTCAAAATACTGTTTGGTGGGTGTTTCCCTGGTCATCCCATGTATCACGGACCTTTTGAACAACAAACCGTCATCAAACTTTCCGTTTGCCACTCAAATGGCGCAAACCGCTGCCATGAACCGGAACTCGAGCGAGTGGCTTTGGCCTTTTGGCCGTCCGTCCTTGACCTCGCCCCAGATGTACTTCACCCCCATCTTCCGCTCCAAGACGGGCTGCAGAGTGAAGGTGAGCGAGTCCAGGTGCGCGGGTTTTACGAAAGCCCGCAGGACCCCGGGGGTGTACTCAAAGTACTCCTTCGCATCCTCGGAATGCGAAGCCGGCAAACAAGTGGGGGGCACTCGTCTCTTTGTTTGGTTGTTGTTGGTACCCCCCTTTTTTTTGGTGGGCTTATAGTGACGGACATACACTTAGAAACAGTTTTGGTTTCCAAAATTTCCGACAAACACTTAGAAACGAAAAAAAAAAACAGTAAAAATCAACACTTAGAAACGGTTCGGCCGACCAACACTTAGAAACGTTTTTTCGCCTTTGTGGCGATTCTGATGCATATTACCAGCCGTCAAACACTTAGAAACGTTTCCAAGTGTTGCCCGAGAGGTACCTGCAACTTCTAAGCATTGGTTACGTGTGTTGCCCCGAGAGAGAAAGGAGTCCACGCAAGAAAAAAAAAACAGCATAACTATATATATACATGATAGACTTAAGAGATCTTCGGGCAGCCAGACAAAAAACAACCTACACATCACGAAGGAAAAATGTTTTTTGACTAAAAACAAGGATAAACAAATGACGAGATGATGAAACAATGATGAGCCAAGATGAGCACATTATGAAAATGATGACACAATGAACAATGACACACAAATGATGATTTGATGACATTTCCTTGGTTTTCAGAACTTCCCGTGGACATCATACGTTTGTCATCATGTTTTCAGAATGTCCTTGTTTCAACAGAAAACAACGATATATAAACAAAAAAACAAGAAAAAACCATAAACCCGCACGACACCATGGACAATAATGAAACAAACCATAAGGATAATGGAATGGTTTCCTGGGGTTGCTGGAAGCTTGAAATCAGCTGGGGGTGAACACTTAGAAACACCTCCCCCAACCCGCCCCCACCCCCCCCCACAGATTCTACCAATTGGGCATGTCTGTGTGTATACATGACCAATGTATACTCCATACATGTCAGTGCGTGTGTGAGCAAGGCATGATCTACTTATACATATATATATATAAATATATATAGACCTTCATCCTCGGGGCATAGGGTGCTTTCTTGGGGTTGCCGGAAGCTTGAAATCAGCTGGGGGTGAACACTTAGAAACGCCTCCCCCAAACCCACCCACCCACCCACCCAGAGTCTACCAAGTGGACTTGTTTGTGTGTATACATGACCAATACTCCATTTAGGTCAGCACCTATGTGGGCAAGGCATGATCTACTTACACACACACACACGTATTTATGTGTATATATATAGACCTTCGTCCTCGGGGCATCGGTGCTTTCTTGGGGTTGCCTGAAGCTTGAAATTAGTTGGGGGTGAACACTTAGAAACGCCTCCGCCAAACCCACCCACCCCCACCCCCGCCAGAATCTACCAATTGGACTTGTTTGTGTGTATACATGACCGATACTCCATACATGTCAGCACTGTGTGAGCAAGGCATTATGTATTTACATAGACACATACTTACATATATATATAGACATTCATCCTTGGGGCATCGGGTGCTTTCTTGGGGTTGCCGGAAGCTTGAAATCAGCTGGGGGTGAACACTTAGAAACGCCTCCCCCAAACCCACCCACCCACCCAGAGTCTACCAAGTGGACTTGTTTGTGTGTATACATGATCAATACTCCATACATGTCAGCACTGTGTGAGCAAGGCATGATCTACTTACACAAACACACACACACATATTTACATATATATATATATAGACCTTCGTCCTCGGGGCATAGGGTGCTTTCTTGGGGTTGCCGGAAGCTTGAAATCAGCTGGGGGTGAACACTTAGAAACGCCTCCGCCAAACCCACCCACCCCCACCCCCGCCAGAATCTACCAATTGGACTTGTTTGTGTGTATACATGACCGATACTCCATACATGTCAGCACTGTGTGAGCAAGGCATTATGTATTTACATAGACACATACTTACATATATATATATATAGACATTCATCCTTGGGGCATCGGGTGCCTTCTTGGGGTTGCCGGAAGCTTGAAATCAGCTGGGGGTGAACACTTAGAAACGCCTCCCCCAAACCCACCCACCCACCCAGAGTCTACCAAGTGGACTTGTTTGTGTGTATACATGATCAATACTCCATACATGTCAGCACTGTGTGAGCAAGGCATGATCTACTTACACAAACACACACACACACATATTTATATATATATATAGACCTTCACCCTCGGGGCATAGGGTGCTTTCTTGGGGTTGCCGGAAGCTTGAAATCAGCTGGGGGTGAACACTTAGAAACGCCTCCCCCAAACCCACCCACCCACCCAGAGTCTACCAAGTGGACTTGTTTGTGTGTATACATGATCAATACTCCATACATGTCAGCACTGTGTGAGCAAGGCATGATCTACTTACACAAACACACACACACACATATTTACATGTATATATATATATATAGACATTCATCCTTGGGGCATCGGGTGTTTTCTTGGGGTTGCCGGAAGCTTGAAATCAGCTGGGGGTGAACACTTAGAAACGCCCCCCCCCCCCACCCCACCCGCCCCAGATTCGACCAACGGGGCTTGTCTGTGTATGTACATGACCAATATATATATATATACTACATATATGTCAGTGCATGTGTGAGGCATGATTTATTTACATACACATATACTTACACATGTATATATATATATATATAGACCGTCATCCTTGGGGCATCGGTGCTTTCTTGGGGTTGCCGGAAGCTTGAAATCAGCTGGGGGTGAACACTTAGAAACGCCTCCACCAAACCCACCCCCCCCAGAGTCTACCAATTGGACTTGTTTGCACACATACACATATATATATATATATATACATCCAGACCTTCCTCCTGGCGGCATGGGTGCTTTCTCCGGGTTGCCGGAAGCTTGAAATCAGCTGGGGGTGAGCACTTAGAAATGCCTCCCCCTGACGCTAACAAATACCAAACAATTACCAATTCAACTTGTCTATGTGTATGCATGAGCATTGCTATATACATCTTTGTCAGCACGTGTGTGCAAGGCATGCTCAAATGACTGCAAGCTCAAATGACTTCCATAATATGTATATATATATAATCAACAACTGCATCCGAGTTGCCAAAGTGCGGATTTCCATACAGATACATATTACATAGCTGGATGCGGATTGCGACTCCCGGCAGCACATACTCGTGGAATCTGGCCTGGCGGATGAGGCGGTCAGGAGTTGCAGCTGTGGATGCATTCATTGTCGGAGGAAGTCTGGGCAACCACCCTCCCATGGGAGAGTAATTCAAAACGAGGAGAAAAACCATCTGGTGCAGCATTGAAATGCTACCATGTGTATATATATATATATGTACTTTTCTCTTGTGTTTATATTACCATGACCCGGCACTCCGGGTCATGGCCCAGGCACTCCCACGAATTGTAGCCCAGCACCTGGCTGTCGAACATCATATACGTGAGGTTGTGATTTCAAGTATTTAATTATCTATATGTATGGAAACACTTGCATCCAAGGTTTGGGTCACAATGCGGCGCAGCGACCAGCTTTTTTTTACCCTGGTTTCGCCCCTTGCTCCCACACATGAGTTTGTGCATTGCCAATACGGACTCTGAATTATGAAACTCCAGGTTCACACGTGACTCCACGTCACGCGTTGGCTCACACGCACGAGGATGCAACATAGTGATGCACCTCCTTCCAAGCACGCGTGCGTGTTTCCATGCAAGAACACAAGCTTGTTGCTTGTCATTCCACATCAGTCAGCCATCATTGATGGCGTCCGGATGTATGCAAACCCACTCCCCACAGGTTGACATGTGATGATGCGTCAAGAGAAGCATGCTACACCGCACTTATAACGAGTCATGGTACATACAAAGGCATGTGGATATATATATATATATATACATATGTATTAAAAAAAATGTAGGTATATATATGTAGGCACCTGATCACAGAACATCCGCTGCAAGGGCATGCACGACCTTGTCCAGCTGTTTCCGCCAGACAGCGTCCTTCCGATGCGCTGCCACATGCGCTTGCAACACAGCCCTGATCGCAACTAGGCAGGCTTCTTTCTCAGACCTGCGTGTCAATCCACCCCATTTGGCCGACATGCCGGTGGTGCACCCTGGATAGAAGCCCTGCCACTGACAGGAGGTTGCATGGCACGACACAAAGCAACCTTGAACGTGCCTTGGAAGGTCGGTTAGGCCCTTGTGCTCTAGCGCGACCCAGGATTCCCTAGTGTGGAAGCTTTTGACCCTCGTTGCATGGCTCAGGCCAAGTGCTTCCAGGTCGTCATCGCTGTCTGCCAAGACGTCGACACCGGCCTCCTCCTCAATTGCATCAGCCGGGTTGTTGAACTGGTGCATCTGATCCGCATAGTCGCGGATCTGGTCTTCACCCAGCGGCTCCCCCTCGTTCTCCACGTCGCCATCTGATTGGTCATCGGGAACGATATCTCCAGGAACCGGCCTGTCCAACTCGGAAGGAATCAACGCGGCGGCATCCATAGTGCCGGCCTTGAGCAGCACGAGCCTGTGTGCAGTTCCCCTCACCGGTGCAAGTGTCAGCTTGGTGGCATCATCGCTCAGGTTGAGCTCCAAGGCAAAACACTCCTTGTTGACTTGCTTTGCGTCGCAGATCAGGCGTTTCCGTCGCTTGCAGAAAATCAGCTTCTCCTGCGCGCTTGCTAGAAAAACGGTGTGCCTGACCTGCTGGGTGTTGGTAAGCGGCTTGCCCATCTCAGCACGCTTGCGGATGGCCCCCTCCCAGCTGGCATGCTCTTGGGCAAACTTGCACACCCTCATCCCCAGAATCTTGCCAACGTATTCCGGGAGCAAGCGACGGCTGCTGACGTCCTCGTTCAGCTGGATGGCCCACTGGTACGAGGTCTCACCATCAATCTGATGCATGCGCATATGCTCCATCTCCCCATCTTCCTCGCCGGCAAACTCAGGAAGCTCGGTGAGGTGGCATAGTCGTGTCATGGAGTCACGGCTCCGCTGAAGCTGAGCGATCACACTCTGTTGATTTCCTTGGGCAACAAGCGTGACCGGGAACCCTGGAATGAAGGCATCCGAGTTTGTAATCAGCTGGGGGGTGAACACTTAGAAACAAACCCTTCTATGAACTTTCACAAAATGTAGCACATGGGTATATATATATATATATATTTATTTATATCAGGTGGAGCTGAGCATCCGTCAAAGAGCCACCGTGCGATGTCCAGCTGGGATGTATACCCGCGCTGGTGCCAAGCAAGCCACACGAGCTTGTTATGCCTCATCGTGTCGGTACAAAAGCGGATTCACGCTCAACTCTGTTTGCGTATGCAAATTCACACAAATATATATATATATACAGTTGATATATATATATATATATACAAAATATGTATTTGCATCTATATATATATATATGTGTGTCAGTGGGTCACGCCGCTCAAATGCCACTCAAAGCCACTCTGGGCTTGCAAGCTGTGCCAAAGCCCAAGCATCCGCACGCATGGAAATCTCCACCGGGCACCTTGGCTCGGGTGTGCGTACTGAAGCAAACAATCCAACCCAGCAATACAGAAACAAAATGCAACTCCAAATGCTAAATCAAACGCAACATCAAATCCAGTGAATCTCAAGCCGGATGGAAACTCAAATCCAGCAAAAAGGGAACCAACTTGATTATATATATATATACCCAATTCCAGCCAAACCAGTTCAAAAAAAGGCAGTTCTGCATTTAATCAGAATTCTTGGAGGTCTAGTGTGTGGGGGTGCGGTTGAGTCACTTGGTAGACGGCACAGCCTGCACGCTCATCTGGAGCTCGTCCAACCGTTTGCGGATCATTGGGGCCGAGCCCCATCCCACTGCACACCGCAGGTAGCCTTGTGTGAGTGAATGCAGAGCTTGATGCCAGCCGTCATTTGGTCCCCCTGCCGCACCAAACCCGCCCGGCACGGGCACTTCGGACCATGACCCCATGAGCTCCTTAGTCAATAAACCGGCTAAATAACTACATACGAATAAAAAACAAGATTGCGTGTGCACAGCATTAACGTGTGTACATATATATTTATGCATATATACATATGTCGTTTTCACAACAAAACACAACTAAATACATATATATATATATACATATTTTGCGTTTGAGTGTTGAGCTTCGATGTTGTGACGCTCACACCACTGCATTTGGAGCTTTCGATAGGTCTTCGAAATGTGCGCCCCAGCTTGGTCCATCATGACCAACGCCTTGTCACGCGCGGTTAGGCCCAGCTGCCTCCTGCGACTGCGCACCTCTTCAGCCAGGAAGTCAAGGTAATACATGAATGTCGTCTCCGACCACATGTGCGAGCCAGGTTGCACGTCCGCAACGTAGATGTATTTGCTCAGCTCCTTGTTCACCCTGGCCCGGACTGCCTCAGATACCGTGCCCGCGCTCACGGTGACATAGGCACGCCCCACGTAGCCGTCGATGAAGGAGAGTGTAGTGACTGTGCGGGGAACACGCCACTCATCTACCGTTCCTCTGGCTGCGGCCAAGCCAGTGACTTGCGGCACGCTGGCAGTGGTCTTGACTTGTGGTGCTGATGGGTCATCTTCTGTGAGTGGAAGGTCCAACGATCTTTCCAGGTTGTGCCTAACCTTGCGCATGTAGAGGCTTCGAGTCAGGGGGTCATTCTCACGGTTCCTCCATGAAGCAGGCTTCTGCAGGGTCTTCTTTTGTGGTCTGTAATTCGTCGACCAGACCTGATCAAAATTTGCAATTAGCCGTTCATGGACTCCCCGCTCACGTGCTGTGTGTCGCACATAAATCCTCACCTTCTCCAATGCTGGATGGTCATACTCAAGATGTGCACCTGGCTTTTCGTTGCTTCGTGGCTTGATGCCGAACTGATTGCACAAGCGCTGGGCTCGTTTCTTCACCGATGCATCTCCTGGGCATATGCAAATCGGCTTCAGCATCTGCATGGCAGCATCCGTCATGGAATTGATAGCTTTGTCCACATCATCCTCACTGAGGTTGGCAAAGTTTGCATCTTGCTGTTGCAGCATCTCCAGGCTCTTCTCATAGAACAAATTCTGCATGGTGCCTACAGATTCGTTCCAGAGGTCGATGGCAAAGGACTGCATGGTGCCTACAGATTCGTTCCAGAGGTCGATGGCAAAGGACATTGTGTTGGCCACAAACTGCATGGTGACCTCCTCACCAAGCACGATGCGCTCCATCACCATATCTTCAATGCAAACCTGCAGCGGGTACGGGATATGCACGCTGTCCGCCTTCTGGGTGTAGCCCCACTCATTCTTTAAGTGCGACATGTTCAGGATGCGCCGCACGCTGTTCGGCAACTCCTTGAACCGCTTGCAGATCGCAGGAGCCGTTTTGCACAAGAGCGTCCAGTTCTGCTCTTTCCGCGCCTTGCCCCACTTGGAGCCACAGAAGCAGCCACGGAAGTATCCCGTCAACTTGAGGCCCTCCATGTGGGCACACATCTTTTTCACGCCCTTCTTCACGGCAGCCTCGTGCGCTTGGCAAATCATCTCTTTATCCCAAATTGAGGCCATCGCGTGCTTGCCCTTGCCGTAGGTGTCTCTCTCGGTATCTTCCTTGGAGGGATCATGTTTCTTCTTCTTCTTGTTGGCCAGTTGTCGCACCTTCGCAGCAACTGGAGCAAAGGCCAGGCTCGAGGGCGTTTTCTGGCGCAACCGCCGGGGTGGCACACGATCACTGAAAGCCATGGGTGGAGAACCGCCTGTGTCGCTTGCATCACGCCGCCAAGCATCGCAAGCGATGAGAGCTGCCAGAGTTACGGCCTGTACAGTGGTTCCCGTGAATGAATTGCCCGCAAGCTCCTGCCCCTGGCTATCGACCATGCGGTCGAATGCTTCGGTGTTCTCTGCGTCGGCCCGCCAGATTCCCTGGCATGATAAAATTTCGACCGGTTTCAGGTACCTGCCCAACCAAGCCGAATAAATTGGATGCATTGGCGTGACGCATGTTGCAGCATTCAGGTTGCATTCTGGATTCCTAGATGATGAGGTTGACATATCCACAAAAACATTGGATCCAGGAGCCACACCAAAATGATCCAGCGCAGATTCCAGCAACTGCTTCTCACGGCTGTTTCGAACTTCTTCCTTCTGTGCCTTACCAAAGCATTGTTCCATGGTGAGGTGGACATCGCTTTGCAGGCTGCGAACGGTGGACAAGAATACCTGGCTGAAACCATCTGAGGCGGACCCAGTGTTCAACTGAGCGCAGCCGTAGACGCGGTTCCGTCGTTGGCGGACAAGGTACTTTTGGCTGTCCACGACTGTCCATGCCTGGGCACAGAAGGATGTGCTTTGTGGGTTTGAAACAAAGGGAAGCCAACAACCCTCTTGCTAATTTACTTCCCTACACACAAATATATATATATATATATACATAGAGAGAAAAACATATTAAGTGCTGAGCTGAGATGCAAAGTCATAGCCAAGGGACGCCGTGTCCGTCTCCACCGTGTTGATGGCAGGCGGATGCTTTTCTCCATTAGGCCCGGAAGTCCAGTCGCACGCCGCCTTCACGTTCTCGTACACAGAGATGGTTGGGTTCAGCAAGCGCATCGCCTAGAAGCGTTTTATAAAAATACATATGTGTGTATCCGTGGAAAGGCTACAAGTGAATATATACGCGTACACACATATATATATATATACACGTCGCTGACTACAAAGGCATATATTTATGTATATGTATATACATGCTGAAGCAAGCGCTCAACAGCATACATACATACATACATGTATATATATGTATATGTTTCGCGCCATGGCACTGCAACGAACCCGTTCTTGTATGTAGGGCCGGATGTCCCTGTAGTATCGCTTTTGGCGGTGTAGCAGCCTGCGTGCTGCTTTCGTTTGCGGTTCAACTTGCTGATGTCCTTGCATGAAGGCCCACAGAAATGGAAGTCCACCGCGTGCGACTCCACGGACAGATCATGCTTCTTCTTGCAGATGAAACAAAAGCCGGAACCTTCCTCGAAGCACGCGACGTCGGCGTACATGTGCTTCACGCCCTTGAAGGCAGCCAGCAAGTAGTTCCGCTTGTCCTCGTCTAGCTCCACCGAGTAGACATGCGTGAGACGGATGTTGACCTAGGTAAATACACAGTATACTGCATGTTACAAACGAAACTGAATATATACATAGATATGTATATATAGATATGTATATATATATATATATGTGTGTGCCCTATGGAAGACCTCGCAGCTTGAAATCAGCTCAGTTTGAACACTTAGAACTGCCTCCCCCAAACCCAGCCTCCCCCAAACCCACCCCCCCCAGAGTCTACCAATTGGACTTGCTTGTGTGTATACATGACCAATACTCCATACATGTCAGCACTGTGTGAGCAAGGCATGATCTACACACACACACACGCGCACATATGTATACATATATAGACCTTCATCCTTGGGGCATCGGGTGTTTTCTTGGGGTTGCCGGAAGCTTGAAATCAGCTGGGGGTGAACACTTAGAAACGCCTCCCCCAAACCCACCCCAGAGTATACCAATTGGACTTGTTTGTGTGTATACATGACCAATACTCCATACATGTCAGCACTGTATGAGCAAGGCATGATCTACTTACACAAACACACACACACATATTCACATATATATATATATAGACATTCATTCTTGGGGCATCGGGTGTTGTCTTGGGGTTGCCGGAAGCTTGAAATCAGCTGGGGGTGAACACTTAGAAACGCCTCCCCCAAACCCACCCCCCACCCCCCAGAGTCTACCAATTGGACTCGTTTGTGTGTATACATGGTCCATACTCCATACATGTCAGCACTGTGTGAGCAAGGCATGATATACTTACACAAACACACACATACATATTTACATATACATATATATATATATATATACATAGACATTCATCCTTGGGGCATGGGGTGTTTTCTTGGGGTTGCCGGAAGCTTGAAATCAGCTGGGGGTGAACACTTAGAAACGCCTCCCCCAAACCCACCCCCCCAGAGTCTACCAATTGGACTTGCTTGTGTGAATACATGACCAATACTCCATACATGTCAGCACTGTGTGAGCAAGGCATGATCTACACACACACACACGCACACATATGTATACATATATAGACATTCATCCTTGGGGCATCGGGTGGTTTCTTGGGGTTGCCGGAAGCTTGAAATCAGCTGGGGGTGAACACTTAGAAACGCCTCCCCCAACCCCCCCCCCCCCCGAGTATACCAATTGGACTTGTTTGTGTGTATACATGACCAATACTCCATACATGTCAGCACTGTATGAGCAAGGCATGATCTACTTACATAAACACACACACACACACACATATATATTTACATATATATATATATATATAGACATTCATCCTTGGGGCATCGGGTGTTTTCTTGGGGTTGCCGGAAGCTTGAAATCAGCTGGGGGTGAACACTTAGAAACGCCTCCCCCAAACCCACCCCCCCAGAGTCTACGAATTGGACTTGCTTGTGTG